TGTCTCAAAAAATTGATTAGTCAATTAATTAATTAAAACAAAATAAAAATTCTAAAGGTTTAGCTCCACCTTCAAGGATGCAGGCTCAGCTAATTCACATTTCAAATTTCCTTTTCACTCTTGACAGACCACACTTAAGGAGCTCTTGTTGGAGGTGGGCGGTATTCGGAAGAATTGGATATGACCTAGTTTTTTGTTTTGTTTTGCTTTGTTTGCAAGGGAAATAATGATGGTCTTACAATGAATTTCCCTAAATGTCACTCTAAAATCTTAAAGCTCTGAAGTTAAAATATCATGACCACAGTTTTACCACTGGGTATTTATTCTGAGCCACCATAGATCCTGCTCGGCATTTATCACAGAGAAAAATTATCTAAGAAAATAGTGTCCACTTTTCGATTCAACATTTAAAAAGAAACAGATTTCTTCACTCAAACTTTTTAAAAGTTCACCTTTACTTGGCATGGAAATATTATTATATATCAGAATGCCTATAAGAAGTATTTATTTTATGGGATACCTGAGGGAGAAGTTTCTACTCACTAATGCTGCCGCAGTATTTCAGAGTGAAGACAAAGAAAACAATCAGTTAACCTTGGAGCTAGTAGCAAATCCAAGAGAACTTCACAGGTGAAAGAATAAACAAAATAATCATCGTAAAATTAAAGAGAGAGTTATACATTTCAAGGCTGCTTTGAAAAGACAGAGACTTGCCATAAAAGAATCCATAATCCTTTCCAGGCTTTAAAAACTAAGCCAACCAATGATAGTTAGTAAGACCAATGCAGGAGGCTGAGGCAGGAAGATCTCAGAGAGTTTGAGGTCAGCTGGGGCTACACAGTGAAGTGAAGGCCAGCCTGTACTGCATAAAGACCCTGTCTCAAAAAAAAAAAAAAAAAAAAAACAACCAATAAATACAATCCCTCACACAGAGAGAGAGAAATTTACAAAAAATATTTAACACAGTTGGACATAACAGAAGACCAGTACAGAAACGCGGCACATCCATAGCTGATCAATTGAGAGATGACCCTGAAGTTGTTGTGGGCTTTGCTTTGCTCCCTTTTATTTCAGGATGGGAGGCAGGGATGACATTGAAAAAGAAAGAAATGAACTACTGACCTCATTTTTTTTTTCTGATACCAGGGATCGAACTCAGGACCTTGCACTTGTGAGGCAGGTGCAGTGCCACTGAGCTAAATCCCGGGCCCCAGAAATGAACTATGAACCTTCAAAGTGTGGTCAGATTATTGCTACAACTTTTGAGGTTCTTAGAGCCATTTAAACTTCGAGGATTGCACTGGTCTTTCTGACTCCTTTTTCCCTTGATTGGCACTAAAACTCCACTACAAGTAGCAAAATTAAAGGAGAGAGAGGGAGGTCATGAGCAAGTCTCTGAACTTCGGAGTGACAGAAATGTACCAAGATTTTCTTGCTGGGCACATTGATTTGAATGTTTTGGGAGGTTTTTGTTTGTTTGTTTGTTTGTTTGTTTGTTTTTGAGACAGGGTCTCACTATGTAGTTGAGACTGACCTGGAACTCACTATGTAGCCCAGGCTGGTCTCAAATTCCCAGGATCCTCCTGCCTCAGTCTCCCAAGTGCTGGGATTACAGGCATGCGCCACCACGCCTGGCTTATTTTGAGAGTTTTTCAGCTCAATACCTACTACTCAGGAAAAGTAAAACTATATAAGTAATGATGATAATATTTGCAACATAGTAGTTTCAGTTTGGGGGGGGTTGGGTTTAGGTTTTTTGAGACAGCATCTCACCATGTAGGCCAGGCAGCAGCAACACTCCTGCCTCAGCCTCCCGAGGGCTGGGACCACAGGCGCTCCTGCTGCACGCGTGAGGAACCGTGGGCGCTTGGGTCCCGGTGATACATGGGGAGCCCGCCGGAGAGCCAGGGCGGCCTCAGGCTGCCTCGGTCCTGGGCGGCTCGGGAGAGCTCCGTGCAGACCCCGAAGCGGTGGCGACCACCGCTCAAGACATCCAACGCCACTAAGGGCTCAGGTCCTGGACTCGCACTCGCCGACATCGGGCTTTGTTTCGTCTTCCGTGAGAAACAGATCTCCCTTGGCAACTGCTTTCAAGCCAAAACTTAAAACAAGGCATTGGAGCTACGGATGCAGATGGGGTTTTGTTCTCAAGTCTGGGAAGACAGAAAGGCTGAGCAGCTGGGACTGAAAAACAGATGAGAAACAGACTTGGGGACACCTATGACTCCTCTGCCGGCACGCGGGGCATCGAAACAACAACCGCGGCAAGCAGTGCCTTCATGGACAGCAAATCCACAACGGGGGCAACCAGCGCTGAGTTCCGAGCCAGCCAGGAGAAACGGGCCCAAGGCCCCGGGTTTAGCAAGAACCGCAGGCCGGGCTGTTCTGAAGTCTCTTCACCTGTCCTGTCCAGCGGCGCAACACAGAGAAGGAATTAGAGGAACTGAAAAAAGGAAGCCTCAGGGCAGGAAGTGGTGAATATATGCAGTGTTCGCGTTTATCTAGAGGCCTCCCCAAACCATCTGCTGGAGACTTCTTATCTCCTCTCCAAATAAACCCCGGAACACCAAAGCACACGTTCACTTACCCTAAACAGTGTCGCTCCGACAGGACTAAAGATACAACGCCTAAAATTACTTGCAAAAATGATCTGCACGTTTCTCAGCCAGCGATGGTGAACGCGCAAGCTGGGCGATTTCCAAATGTTTCCTACCCCGCTTTCTGGAGGAGGAAATACAGCGGCCTCACAACCCAAGCTGGCATTTCCTCGGCTCTTAGCCCTGGGAAACCACCTGGTGTCAACAGATACAAACGCACTCTGCTGACCCCCAGGAAGGGGACAGTGTGGTGACAAGGCTGAAGGAGAGGGTTCGGGAAAACGAGGGTCACACGAGAGGGGTGACGCCCCGGGCGGGATGTCAGGCAGTTTCCACCAGCTCGCCCCACGGAAGTCTCCTCGCCCCAGCTTCCTGGCCGCTGTCGTATTTCTGGCTCCTCGTTCCCTCCGTGATCCGATCATTACGAAATTCTAAATAAAGTGTCATCTTTCTTGCAACAAATCAATGGACAGAAAGCTGCCCGGCAACAGTGGAGAGGTTTTCTAAAGCGCTGCCGATTATTTCTGAGTGACCTCCCCGCAGACCATGGAGAATGCTGGCCACGAACCAGGAGGCTTCTCTCCTCCGTGAGAAACGCAGCGGGTGTGTCTGTTTCTGTGTGTGCGCGTGTGTGCGCGTGTGCGCGTGTGTGCGTGTGTGCGTGTGCGTGTGTGCGAGTGTGCGCGCGTGTGTGCGTGTTTCAAAACAGAATTCACAAGCAATATCTGACTGTGGTCACCGGTTTGCCTTCGTCTAAGGTTGAAATTTAGTCTCTTCCCCGTGCTGATACCAAGACAGGAAAGGAACGGTTTCTCATGTTACCGTTGTCACAGTTTCTCCTGTTATAGTCGTCCCCGCAGGTGCTGTAACCCTGCTCCCGCATTCCTCACCAGCGCCAACACACCCACCATTACCTGTAGGCTCTCCCTGTGATACGGTTTACAACAACCCCGCCTTTATCCCTCACGCTACCCCTGCAGAACCCTAGGGCACAGAGGCAAATTGAGGAAAGCAAAAAAATTCTGTGGGTGACGAACGCGGCCTCCACGTACACAACGAAGCCTAAACCAACCCGCTAAGGGACTAACCTTGTGCAGAATTTTGTTTTCAACTCTCTTCCAGTCTACCAAAAAACGAGACACGCTATCCCTCCTCCTGCAGACAGCTCTGCTCTCCCGTATTCCTCTGTTTCCGAGCTGCAGGAGAAGCCGGGCCTCCACGGTCCCCAGGGCCAGGTCCAAGGGATGCTGAATCAACCAGGAGCAAAGATCGATTCAAATCCAGCAGGGCAGCCGGCGGGGTCCCTTCCCGTCCCGTAGGGGAACAGACTCTCTCTGTGGCCTTCCGGAGGGTAAACTCTCCCCCGTGGCTCAGGAGTTTCCACAAGGTTTTACAAGCAGAAGCTGAGAACGGCAGGTGACACAAATGAAACCCAGCCCCAAGAGCAGAGGCTGAGGTCTCAGAGCGAGCTTTCGGAGTCCCCTCTGAAAGGGATCAAACTCAGCCTCGACTTCTGTTCTGCTGCCACATTTCAAGCGAGAGGTAGTCAGGGCCTGCTACGGAAAAGGAAGATGCTGATTTCTTCTCCCCGCCCGAGCTGGGCGTCACTTATCAGACAGGTTCTCAACAGCACACATCAGAACAAGGCGAGCATTAAAAGGAGCTTAATTCACGTGAAATTTCAACTCCGTCCAGGACTAAAATACTCCCATCTGGTCAAAGAATCAAGTGGAAAAGTCTGCTTTGAGTTTTCTAATAAAGAAGGAAATGTGAAAGTAAAAACATAATTTGTTTCATCTGTATTCGTTGGTCTTCGTTCAACCGAGTTTTGTGCTAAGATCTGGTTCTTCGTTTTTGGTGCGGGGGATCGAACTTGGGACCTTGCCTTTGCGAGGCAGGTGGCAGAACCGCTGAGCTAAACCCCTGGCTGTTGGCTTCTACTTTGTGAGAAAAGCTTTTGATGTCCTGTATCCTGAGTAACAACTTTGACAATAACAACACACCATGTGTGACCCATTGTTATCCTATTACTTCGTTCTGAAATTTTATTTTTTCATAAAATAAAAAAGAAGAAAAAACACAATGAAAATGGCCTTACGCTGCCAAACACCCTCCCATTAGGACTTTGGACAAACATAAATGTGTAGATTTCATCTTTTTGTTGTTGTTGTTAAATGTAAAAGTGTTCAATAAAGGCCAGTGCAGAATACTGATCTTAAAATACATAACTTATCAAATATTTTTACTTTGGCGAAGCGCACTTAAATAATGAGATTCTATCCTGGAGGGACAGAGCACCACAGGTGTGTTTTATATTGTTCATGTATGCACTGCTGAGGTCCATTTTACGGGTTCTACGTTGTTCTAACCTCCGAAGAAGCACCGCGCGCCGCCTGTACCAACCTGGTTCGGATCTGCTGGAAGCCCCGGAGAATGTGGGTCCTGTGGTCCCGTGCAGCGGGGCTGAGGTCCTCGTTCCCCAACCCTTCAGCCAGGAAATCTTCGGCGTCTAGAGGGAGCGGAGAAGCAGTCAGTGGGAAAAAAGGCATCTAAGAGGCGGGCGGGAACTCGGAAGGGATTAACCTTGCTGTTGAGAACGTACTCGACACCAGGCTGTACACAGGGCCTCGTGGGAGTTAGGCAAGCCCCACACCACTGAGCCACTGCCCCGGCCCTGGTGAAAGTTTTATTTTGAGCCAGGTCTCATTAGGTTGCCGAGACTGGCTTTGAACTTGTAGTCCTCCTGCCTCAGCCTCCTGAACAGCTGAGATCACAGGTGTGTGCCACCGTGCCGTGCTGAACTATATATTTACTAATAGTTAAGAAGGCAGTGCCGGGGCGTGTTGGCACACGCCTATAATCCCAGCACTCAGGAGGCTGAGGCAGGAGGGTCACTGTGAGTTTGAGACCAGCCTGGGCTACATAGTGAATTCCAGGTCAGTCTCAATGACATAGTGAGACCCTGTCTCAAGAAAAAAAAAAAGAAGGCAAATACATTCTACATATCTTACACAGTAATTAAAATATTACATATGTCTGTAAGTGACATGTTCTAATCGTCCAAGACCTTGCAATGAATTTAGAAAACCAATGCACGTACTAACCACAAGAAATAACTTTTCTAAACAATTTTTAAAGAGACATTTACATGTTAATGATCAGGGGCGGCAGGGGACAGGCTGTCAATTTCATAAAAATGGAAGTATTACAAATAAGTCACAGAAGGTCGCAGACTAATAGAAGCGAGAGCAGAAGCACCATCATTCCAGTGGAAATAAAAAAATACAAAACCAAGAAGCAAAAGGGCAGGCATTCCAAGAGGAACATAAATTTCCCCACTTGGGAAAGAAAAATGTGCTCAAGAGAAGGAAACTACGATTCATAGGAGCAGACGTTACAAAATAGCATGGCGGAAATACAGTGTGTGAAACAGGAAAAAACCGCGGGCACACACATCTTCAAAGATAAAAATGCACTGATGCAAAAATGCAAATAAGAAAAGCCAGGTGTGGTGGCGCATGCCTATAATCCCAGCACTCAGGAGGCTGAGGCAGGAGGATCGCTGTGAGTTCGAGACCAGCATGGGCTACGTAGTGAGTTCCAGCTCAGTCTCAACTACATAGTGAGACCTTGTCTCAAAAAACAAAAACAAAAAAAGAAAAATTGATAATGACTAGAGTTGCCAAAAATAGCCCCACACTTTCATCTGCATGTTTATTACTCTGGAGAAGCGTATAAATAATATGCTTAAAATTTTTGCCTTGGGCCGGGGATGTAGCTCAGCGGTTCTGCTGCCTGCCTCAAAAACACAAGGACCTGAGTTTGATTCCCGGCACCTCCCCACCAAAAAAAAGACCCAACAAATTTTTTGCCTTCAAAAATGTCCCTATAATATAAAACATATAGGATATGAATTTATACAGATGAGTTACCTACCCACATTTTTGTTTTACATCCATACCACTCAATAACACCAGTCCAAAAAAAAAAAAAAAGTCCTATGCAACCATCACTAGGATTTCTGATGAGGTACAAAGTCCTGGAAACGGAAATTTCACAAGGAATTGCCATTAACATCTAAGCCCTACATTCCATCGATCAGGGGCTTTTTGAGTGCTACAAACAGGAAATGGAAAGTTAAAAGTGAAAAAGAAATGGCATCTGAGGTTAAAGTAATGCAATATATCACACTAAGAAGAAAGGACAAAAGCCACATGATCATCTCAAGAGACCCGGAAAAGGCATTCGACAAAATTTAACAGTCCTTCATGATAAAAACTAGGACCAGAATGAAACTTCCTCGGCCTGATAAAAACATCCACAAAACCCCACAGGTAGGTGGTGAGAACACAGGTTATTGGCAGTGTGCATCCTTGGCACGTGCAAGGCCCGGGTTCAATGGCTCAGGTTCAATCCCCAGCATCCCGACAAACAACCCAGCTCACTCTGTGCTGAGAGCGAGACTGAATATTCCCCCCCTTTTCCTAATATCAAGAGCAAGACAAAGATACTGTCACCATTCACACCCAACACTGTACTCGTGATGTTAGCCAGGACGATTAGGCAAGAAAATGAAGTTTTAAGAAACCCAGATTGGGAAGAGAGAAATAATTTTTTGTTTGTTTGTTTTGTTTTTGAGGCAGAGGTTCAGGCTGTCCCTGAACTCACTACATAGTCCAGGCTGGCCTCGAACTCTCTGTGGTCCCCCTGCCTCAGCTGGGATTACAGACCTGTCCCACCACTCCCAGCTCAGATGGGAAAGAAAGGAATAAAATGAATATGATCTTGTGCATGGGAAACCCTAAGGAATCCATTAAAAAACTATCAGAACAAATCCAGTTTGAGGCTACCAATCAATGTACAAAATCAACTGTATCTCTATATAGTAGCAATGAAGAAAACAAAAAGTTAAATTCTATTTGCTATTAAAAGTAATTCAATAGCTGGGTGTGGTGGCGCACGCCTGCAATCCCAGCAATCAGGAGGCTGAGGCAGGAGGATCGCTGTGAGTTCGAGAGCAGCCTGGGCTACACAGTGAGTTCCAGGTCAGTCTCAACTATATTGTGAGACCCTGTCTCAAAAAACAAAAACAAAATAATAATAATAATAATAATAATAATAATAATAATAATTCAATAGCTAAAGATAAATGTGGAATGGGGTCCAGCTCAGTAAATTCGCCCCGTATATACATATGAGGCCCTAGGTTCACTGCCCAACATCCCCCCAATCATAATTTAACGAAAGGAGTGAAAAAGCTTAAATCTGATAACTATGGAAGATCATTAAGGAAATTAGGGAAGACCTCAAAAATAGGCCGGGAGATTCACCACTGTTAAAAACGGCACTCCTCAAACTGACGTAAAGATTCAGGGCAATCCCTGTCACAAGCTCAGCTGGCTTCTGAGCAGAAATTCGCCAGCTGATCTTAAAATTCCTTCAGGAGCCAGAAGAGCCGAAATAACTTTGAAAAAGAAAAGCAGATGTGGAGGACTCTCCCTCCCTGATTTTGAAACGTACCATCGAGCACTCAAGACAGTGCTCTACTAGCATAAGGAGAGGCACACAGACCAGAGGGACAGGACTGGAGATCCAGAAATTAACTCTCACATTGATGCCCAACTCTTGGCAAGAGTACTGAGACAACTCAGTAGGGAAATGGGTCGTTTTCAACAAAAGGTCACGGGACGACGGACTGACCACAGGCAGAGACTCTTGCCGACTCACATTACCCATTCAGTAACTCAGCATGGATCTCAAACCCAAAGGTAAGAGCTGAAGATTAAGACTCTTAGAAAATAAAACAGGCCCGAGTCTTCAGGAACTTGGACTGAGCAATAATTCCACATCAGAAGAACCCACAAAAAAAAAGAAAACACATCATTTGGACATCATCAAAATGAAAACCTCTTAAACCCGGTGTAGTGGTGCACACCTATAATCCTGGCATTCAGGAGGCTGAGGCAGGAGAATCCCTGTGAATCCCAGACCCATCTGGGCTTCACAGTGAGTTCCAGGTCAGTCTCAACTGCTTAGTGAGACCCTGTCTCAAAAAAAGAAAACCTCTTGAGCTTCAAAGGACGCCACTGAAGTGGAAAAACGATCCACAGAGTGGAGAGTCTGTAAATCACACAGGTGGAAAGGGATTTGTAGGTAGATACAGAAAGAATGCTCACAGGTCAACAGTAAGATAATAACCGGATTTAAAAAGAAGCAGAGGAACTGAATAGACATTTCCCACAGAAGATACACAAATAAATCCATGAAATAAACCGATGCAAATACACTTTACACCATGTAACCTGGGGAGTACACACAGAAACACAATGATTTCATTACTGTTTCACACCCACCAGGACGGCTATGGTCAGAAAGGCTGCGGGAACGAAGGGCTGGGTTCAACTGTGACTTTCAAAACAGGAACATTATTCCAAACAGAATCGAAGGCTTTTAATTGATTTTAAAAAGATACACGGGGGCTGGGGATGTAACTCAGTGGTTCTGCCACCTGCTTCGCAACTATAAGGTCCCAAGTTTGATCCCCAAGACCAAAAATAATAAATAAATAAATTAATTAAATAGAGGTAGACATTAGCTGTCTGCTGTCAATTGCTTTGGGCTGGTTCCACCACCTGCCTCACAAGCACAAGGTCCCAAGTTCAATCCCTGGTACCAAAAAATCCAGAAAAAAGATACACAGCATCAAAACTGAACTAATAAGGTTATGGAAAGATTATGGAAAACAGAGCGAGGTCAAATAACCTAAGGGTGAATCTTAAGTTCCTAGAAAAAGAAGAGCAAGAGAAACCCAAAGCTCACACAAGGGAGGGAACTGTAAAGATCAGAGCAGAAATCAATGCAATAGACACTAAGAGAATGATATTTAAAAAATCAACGAATCGAAGAGTTGTTTTTTCCAAAGAATAAATAAAATCGATAATCCCTGAGCCAACCTTATCAAAAAAAGGAAAGAAAAGCCTCAAATTCATGCAATTAGGAATGAAAATGGTGAAGTCACAACAGATTCAGCAGAAATCCAGAGGATCATCAATGCCTACTTCTAGAACCTGTGCTTTAATAAAATGGAGAACACAGAAGAAACGGACATATTTCTAGATACATATGAATTACCAAAGGAAATGAAGAAGATATAAAAAATCTAAACACTCCAATTACAATCAGTGAAATTAAAAAGGTAATTAAAAATTCACAAACAAAGAAAAGCCCAGGTCCTGATGGCTTTACTGCTGAATTCTACAAGACATTTAGAGGAGAGCTTTGCCACTACTCTTTAAACTTTTCAATGGAATTGAAAGAGAAGCAATACTTTCAAATTAATTCCTGGAAGCAAGTATCACTTTGATTCTTGATTCTAAAACCAGGGAAAGACCCAACCATAAAAGAGAACTACACTTCAATCTCCCTAATGAACATAGATGCAAAAATCCTCAATAAGATACTGGCAAACAGAATACAGAGGGTCATCAAGAAGATTAATCCAAGTTGGAT